ATGTGATTCACTGGGTTCTGAGATGTGATTCACTGGGTTCTGAGATGTGATTCACTGGGTTCTGAGGTGCTAAACATATTGTAATTAAGTCCTTTTTTTCAAATTGTGTTGTTCTCACTATTGTACAATATAAAACATATCTTTGTCAAGAACAAAATGAATTGTTAACATTTCTTGTTGAATTTCTTCTGTTTCTATAAGACATGCTTGTAATTCCAAGTAGAGTTAGCATATACATTGTTAAATTCTTTTCTCTATATTGACTGTACATTGTTATTCTGTAAGGAACTGTTATTGATGTACATATGACATGCTTACTGTTTGTATGATTTACATTTAAGTTTACCAAGATGACTAAATAACACTGTGGTGACATGGAAACACATGTCAAAGGTCACATGTAGCATGTCATGGGGGCGCATTTAGTCATGATGTCAAAGGTCGTAATATAATGATGACTTACCTTGAACCATACAGATAATGATGACTGACCTTAAACCATATAGATAATGATGACTGACCTTGAACCATATAGATAATGATGACTGTCCTTGAACCATACAGATAATGATGACTGATATTGTACCATACAGATAATGATGACTGAACTTGAACCATACAGATAATGATGACTGACCTTGAACCATACAGATAATGATGACTGATATTGTACCATACAGATAATGATGACTGACCTTGAACCATACAGATAATGATGACTGACAATGAACCATACAGATAATGATGACTGACCTTGAACCATACAGATAACGATGACTGACCTTGAACCATACAAATAACGATGACTGACAATGAACCATACAGATAATGATGACTGACCTTGAACCATACAGATAATGATGACTGACCTTGGACCATACTAAGGATGACTGACCTTGGACCATACAGATAAGGATGACTGACCTTGAACCATACAGATAATGATGACTGACCCTGTACCATACAGTAAATGATGACCAATTTTGGACCAAACTATGAAAACTTACCTTGCTCTGTTTAAGCTATGATTATTGACCTTGAATCATGTCTTATGAATCTAAGCCTGTTTTTAGGTTTACAATTTAGTGATTATATTTTTTGCATGCTTTCTGTACAATTAAGTTTGTAACTAGTTCATTTTGATTTTGTTTCACTATGACACAGCTGAAGATTGGGACCACATTTGTTTTATGAATTTTGTATTTTCTATATCTTTATTATTTAGATGTATGTTGACATATAACTTTTCATTTTTTTTTCATTATTTTTGTCATTGCTAGTATCCCATATATTTCTTTTTTTGACTAAATTAATTAATTAACTAGAAGATATATTTTGACCCCACGTTGGGTTGGATTACTGATGTGCACTAAAATGTCACTGCTGACAGATTGCACTACTGGTAGTGAATACCAGAGATATCAGCATTACTCATAACTACAGTATATTCAGTATATTTACAGTAAAACATTCATTTCACATTCATTTCAAATGACTTCTCACTCAGCACATATTTTAAGATCTCCCCTTTTTCATTTTCTTAAACAAATCTTTTATATTGGCGCCATTCTTCATAATGTCAAATTTTTGCAGTACAAATGGTGCTAGTACAGTATTTGTTTGAAAATTCCATTAATTACTGGTATCACGGCTTGTACATATGACAAGGAATGAATTGGAAAACATGTTTTCATAAAAATGTTATATTTCTCTTGCTGATGGGGATTTTTATGTCTTAATTACACACAATAATCAAAATAGATATAAACAACCAAGAGAGTGTGAGGGTGTGACATAAAACTAGGTTATGTGATGTCAGACTATGTTCATAGGCATACCAGACAAGTTCTAAGTGATATCAGACACATTATTTAGAAGGTTCTATGTTTCATTTTTGAGCATGAAAAGTAATACAAATACACACTCTTGTATTGTATAAATTTAACATTTCTACATTGCACGAGTGAAAACTGCTACATTATATTTGTACATTGCTTCATTGTATAAGTGCACACATACACTGCTACATTGTATGTGAACATTGTATAAGTGTACATGTACACTTCTACATTGTATGTGTACATTGCTTCATTGTATAAGTGCACACATACACTGCTACATTGTATGTGTACATTGTATAAGTGTACACCTACACTGCTACATTGTATGTGTACATTGCTACATTGTATAAGTGTACACATACACTGCTACATTGTATGTGTACATTGCTTCATTGTATAAGTGTACACATACACTGCTACATTGTATAAATGAACACTGCATGTGTACATTGTATAAGTGTACACATACACTGCTACATTGCATGGGTTCATTGTGTAAGTGTACACGTACACTGCTACATTGTATGTGTACTTTGTATAAGTGTACATGTACACTGTTACATTGTATGGGTACATTGTATAAGTGTACATGTACACTGCTACATTGTTTGTGTACATTGTATAAGTGTACACGTACACTGTTACATTGTATGGGTACATTGTATAAGTGTACATGTACACTGCTACATTGTATAAGTGTACATGTACACTGCTACATTGTATAAGTGTACATGTATAAGTGTACACGTACACTGCTACATTGTATGTGTATATGTTTAAGTGTACACGTACATTGCTACATTGTGTAGAGTAAGGGTACATGATTTCGAACAGGACGTGATTTCGTACACTAAATATATTTTTTCTTATTTTTCAACCGATCACTTTCGATGGAGGCATAAAATTGCTCCAACAGCAAACCATTGCTATTGTCCTTCTTCGGTGATGCTTAATATAGATTTTCCAAATAACCTCGTTTTTAAAACGAAACAAGCGAGTAGAGTTGTCGTCTTCAGAATGGGCCCAATGTGACTTTAAAGCATTATTTAAAACAGAATCTAGCCAATTTTCTTGTGATCACTTTGAGATCAGTTAAATAAAACAATATTTTACCATTTGCATCAAGAAGATTTTAAAAAGAAGCTCAAATATAACAAATTCAAATTTAACGTACACGCCCACTCAATGACAAGGCACCAATCGTAGGGAACAGTCATTATTTCAAAACTCATCTTAAATATTTGTTTGTTTTTGGCCTCAAAAACCTTCTAGAGCATTGAAATTGTTTTATAAAACATCCAATGAAATAATTGCTACTAGAATATGTATAGTTGATATTTTTTCCACAAAAGGGTCGATGTCACCACCAACAAAGGACAGGTTTTTTATAAAAAATCATAACTTGTTCAAAAAACATTTCTGGTCTATGAAAATCGGCAAATCTGAATGAAATATATTGAATTCATACGACATATACTTATATTCGATTTATTTACTATGAATAGCACATTTGTAGAGTGTACGAAATCACGTCCCCAACTGCTGCGAAACGTGGAAGTAAATGATGGTAAAAGAAAGATCCCCTGCGCAGTAAATTTCTGCGCATATGACGTCACATTACCGAATATAGCGCAGATTGCATACATCTTTTAGGTCAAAGTAGATCCGTTTTTCTTGGGATGTATTTGAAAAAAAATATGTAAATCTGTTTCAAAAGTGTACGAAATCAGGTACCCTCACTCAATATGTTCATTGCTACTCATACACTCCTACATTTCTACCAAACATTACTGCTAACAGAGAAGTGGATGTTACCACTGTCCATGATCCTGTTTTGTAGGTGGTGATGTGTTGTAATGTAATGCAGTCCTGATGTTACCATTGTCCTTGAACCTGTTTTGTAGGTGGTGATGTGTTGTAATTTAATGCAGTCCTGATGTTACCATTGTCCTTGAACCTGTTTTGTAGGTGGTGATGTGTTGTAATGTAATGCAGTCCTGAAGAGTCAGTTACATTTAACTCAAGTGTTCAACAATTACTTATCAGAATGATATGTAGTAGTTTGTTTTGAATATGATTTTTGTTATCATCAGTTGGTGCCTATTTCATTTACCTTTTTTAGTTAAAATGAACATTATCAATATTTTATAATTGTTTTAGTTAATTGTCATGTTAGATTTATCACATACTTTGCTATACTCCTCATTTTGTTTTACAGTCACCAAATATCAAGCCTTGCTGAGTTAGAAAGGCATGTACAAATATAAAAAATGAAGTTCAGAAAGCTTCATCTTCAGAACTATTGACCACTTCTGAGGTGTTGGGTCATGCTAGTGCTCAGCTACATTACTGGTTTCGTTAAATTGATCAGGCATCCCTTGGGCAGTGGTGCTGAATAAATATATTTTTTTTGTTAAAACCTGGACTTTTGTTTTTTATTAGGTCACATGAGTCATTGGCTCTACTGGCTATATACATCTTAAAGTGGAGTTATTATGCTATTATGCTGTCTGTCTGTCCGTCTGTTAACATTCTGACATCTCCTTGTCTGAAAAAAAAATGGTAAGAAAATATTCATGTTTTAAAACGGCAACACTGCATAAGATTTCACGACAGTGATGTGATGGCACTTTCATCAACAACATCTACTAGCATTACATGTGTGTGTAGAGTGTCAAATGAATACGTGTATAGATACTACTTATGTCATATGATATGGACAAAGGGAGGCAATTCCTATATCTGTGAACAAAGATCAAAAAGAATGTTGCCCGATTACTGGCAAGTAAACCTTTTGTATGCCCTTTTCAACACATTCAAGAAATAATTTAACTTTCTTGACTAATAAAGTTTTAATCATTTTTAGCTTACCATGGTCCGAACCTGGTCCAAAGGACCATGGTGAGCTTAAGCCATACCGCAGTGTCCGTCATCCGTCCTCCGTCCGTCAACTTTTCCTTCAAAATGCTACTTGTCATGAACGACACAGCAGATTTTGACCAAATTTGGTCAAAAGCATCCTTGGGAGAAGGGGAAAAAATTTTGGGAAAATATAGCAAATTTCTTTATAATCCTTCTTCTTCTGTAGGAATGAAAGGATTTGTTCCATATTTGGTCTGAAGCATTCTTAGGTGAAAGGGAACCAATTTTGTATAAACCGTAGGTCTGGCCCCCATGGGGGCTGAGGGGCGGGGCCAAATAAGGAAAACATAGCAAGTTATTCTTTAAAATCCTTCTACTTCTGTAGGAATAAAAGGAGTTGGTCCATATTTAGTCTGAAGCATCCTTGGGAGAAGGGGAACCAATTTTATATAAACCATGGGTGTGGCCCCCCAGGGGCCTGAGGGGCGGGGCCAAATAAGGAAAACATAGCAAATCATTATTTAAAATTCTTCATCTGTAGGAATAAAAGGATTTGGTCCATATTTGTTTTGAAGCATCCTTGATTAAAGGAGAACCAATTTTGTATAAATGGTAGGTGTGGGACCTGAGGGGCGGGGCCCAATAAGGGAAATAGAGGTAAAACCTTTATAATCCTTCTTCTACCATAGGGATTAAGGGATATTATCCTAATTTAGTCTGGAGCATCCTTAGTCAAAAGAGACTCAATTTTGTATAAGCAGTGGGTGTGGTCTCCCAAGGGACAGAAGGGCGGGGCCCAATAGGAGAAATAGACGTAAAACCTTTAAAATCCTTCTTTGACCATCAGGATTATGGGATTTTATCCTTATTTAGTCTGGAGCACTCTTGGGTCAAGGGGACTCAATTTTTGTATAATTGGTGGGTATGACCCCCCCCCCCCCCCCCCCTAGGTTGCATAGGGGTGGGGCACTGTTTGATGTTTGTTCTGGCTATATCTCAAGTTCTGGATGGATCTTTCTGAAATTTCAAATGTACTTACAGCACCTACTTCATACCAATTATTTTAAACATATTCAGGTGAGCGATACAGGCCCTCTGGGCCTCTAGTTCATAACTGGCTTGGCACACAGTGCCTTTGAACCCATTCCATGGTACAGTGTCTGTGGTTCTTTCAGTAGTCCTACAACTTTGTCTTTAAATGACTACATTGGTAGTAGGGATCTGATGGTATACCATTTCGACCAGAGATATCTGTAGACTTTGAAATAAAAAAAAAATCACAAATATTTGGTTGGTAGCTTTCTTAGAATAAGCCCAACATAGTTCACAGAATGGAACAGTCCTTGACCATAATATAAGGTCACCTAGATTAACTTTGCCTACATGCTTAAGTGATTTCTTCTGAAATGTTGCCTGTGGGTTGTGGCCTTGTACTCTACTCAAACTGCTCCATCTGGAGAACCAATTTCCCATTTGGACGAAAACTTTCTAGCATGGTTTTGGTTTGTTTGTGTTTTACGTCCTTGTGCCAGATTTTGGTGGTGGAGGAAAGCCGGAGTTCCCGGAGAAAAAACAGTACCTGGCGACTGCCCCACGTAGGCCTCTTACCCGCTGCCCAGGGGTGGGGGGCTAGTTGTAGCAGAATGCCGGACGCCTCAACCACTTGGCCACCGCGGCCCCTACTATTAATTAAGAAGAATGACATTTCCTTGAGACATGCATTTGGCAAATAACTTTCTAGTATTGAGGGTTAAAGATACTGTATTAAATACAAGGTCACACGGGTCAAATATCAAAAAACCTCTTCTGAAAAAGCCTAGAATAACCGTCTTTCTTGGTCTCTGATGATAAAAATAAACATTTTCTTCTTCAGGTCCTTTGACCTACTTTGAACTGTTGAAAGTCCCACATTGTAAAAGAAGTTAGAAATGCTTCCAACAGGGATAATAGTAATAGAAAATAGTAATGATACCGACCGAGCCTGTAGTGTTAACACATCCACATATGACATTTCTAAACATTTTCTTCAAGGTGGTAAGTAGGGACTGTGAAAAGTTCGTTTTACACAACCAATAAGATTTTTTATGTGACGTATCGATGACTATTACGATATGTAAACTGTCACCTTCACCAGACAAATGACCAGACGTATGTACACAAAGGTGTAAAATGTGTACGAGTTGTCCACAAAATCGATGTAGATTCGGCCACGCTGTAAGCGTATCATGTACAATAGTAGTTATATTTGGTCATAGAACACATAGTACATATATAACCAAGTACTAAATAATCCACAAATGACGTCTTTTGAAGACAAGGAGACCAATATGCTATGTAAGCCATCTTTGCCTTCATATTTGTAAATATTAATGTTTTTGTATTACTTGATCGGGCGCATTCAGAAATCCAAAATGGATTGTATGGTTCCTGTATAAAAAGTCCATATTCGCAAGACAGCATTGAGCGAATGTAGTTTCCACATTTTTGATGCTGTATGCTTCTTTAGTTGCATCAATTTCCTCGAGCCACACTTCTCGCGAATATTTTTCTTAAAAAAATAAATCACGCAAAAATGTCAACTGCCAAATGAAGTAAATGGGTGTTTTTAATTATGTCATAAGATCTGAAGACTCATTCAAATATACATAACAAGTACGAACTATTTTCGTTTCCAACTAAACTCTAGGGGAAAACCTCTAGTCAGTAAGTGAGTACATAAAATATCTAGATTTATATCTAAAAGCAGAACACCTTTAAACTGAATATAGCTCGGACCACGGCAGTCTTTCCGAGATGACACGCGCTTTAGAGGGACAAATCCAACTAATTCGAGGTTCTTATATACCGCTTTATCAAAACCTAGTTCGTAGGCCGTCTCAAATCGGTTTTAGGGACTTTGCAGCCAGCCAATATTTTTCTCAATTCCCTTGGGAGCATACAGCCGGTGCTGCCATTTCGGCGCTCACATAGCTAGCATTTAATATTTCTAGCACTGCCCAACCACGTACATTTGCAGCTGATTAGACTGGAAAAAGCAGAGTAAAGTATCTTGCTCAAAGATGCAGTCCTTCGGCGTCCTACCACTAGACTACCGTGCCTCCTATAAAACAGGGTGATTTGTAGGAATTTGATATTTGATATATCTTATGGTAATGAAGATGTAAAATGAAAGATCATGCCGACACGAATAGAAGATTCCAATTTAAGCTTTACTGTACATCAGGGGATTATCACGCAAAACAATAATACCTTTCATGCGTGTCTTGTCGCTTTGTGTTGACGATTTCCTGAACCATGGGGAAATTGTTATTAGTGTATTTAATATGGACTCTTTTGTCGGATTCATAGGATAGAACCGTTTAATAAAATAGTAGAAAGCACTGAACCTTTTTGGATATCACTGTTTTCTTGGTAATTGTAGGTGGAGCTCGGTATTTGAAAAGACGTACTCATACCTTGTTGTCAAGTTTTCACTTAGACTCCCAAGAAATACAGCGATGTTTCTTCTCCTGTTCACAGTTTGTTTTGGTTTTCAGTAGCTAATTGACGCTTTCAATATGCATTTTGACGGAATAGTTTTAACTCTTCCCGATGAAATGTTCATTGATTTTGGTTATATCTTTTTAACTGTTAAACGGCCATTTTCTCCCAAATACCCTTGGTACACATGCATGGACGTTACGCTCGATGTTGGTGACACTTGGTGTAACATAACATTACGTCGTTTTTTCATATATGACGTCGTTTTTTAGATGCTTTGCAATATTTTGTGTGACTCCCTTGTACGCTACCGTGCGGACAAAGAGGTGTATGAGCTAGTGTTGATCATTCTTTTTTTTTTATAATTGTTGTGAAAATAAATACAGTTTAAAAGCTAGCCGGGATTAGAAGGAGAATATAGATGTGGGCATATGGACTGGCTTCACTATTCTCAAAATCGTTTCCATCGTTTCAGAACGAGTTGACTGTCCAATTTTTAGAATTTTGTACATAGGTCAACAGAATAAGTATTAACGTCAGATATATGTTGTTTTTACTATATTTCTACCATTCTATTTATAAGTATTTTATCATTGACTTTATCCACGTAGTGTTTCAAAAATGATAATGATGCATTGAATTTTACTCGAAATAATAAAATGTCCTCACGATTTCTACTGATGTTTGACACTCTCATTGCTGCTCAACGTTATTCCCGTTACGTCGCCTAAGTGGGACATTTTACGGAAACTGAAAGTGTCGTGTGCATTTTTTCATTATTGACCCCATAACATAAGCGAAATGTGTTTTTTTTTTATTCAGTCATGACACATTCTTATTAGGACAAAATTATTTTATTTCATGTTTCGTAATTTACTATTATACGTCGTCAAATTTTCAATTTATGCAAAATGTACGTCAAAAACAACTACTAGACAAATTTCGGATTTTTTCATTTTGCCTGTTATACATGAAAACGTTCTTTCAAATACTAGTAGATAATTTTCTTTGTATTATAATTACGACAAAGGCACCTTACATATATAACTTTATATATCTCAAATATGTGACAATATCCTCC